GAAGTAGTCATCAAAAGTCTCCCAAACAATAAAAGCCCAGGCCCAGATGGCTTCAGTGCAGAATTCTACCAGAAATTCAAAGAAGAGCTAAATCCAATACTCCTCAAAGTATTCCACACAATAGAAGCAGGAGGCTCACTGCCAAACTCTTTCTACGAGGCTACAATTACCTTGATACCCAAGCCACACAACTAAGAAAGAGAACTATAGACCAATTTCCCTCATGAACATCGATGAAAATTACTCAATAAAATACTCGCAAACCGGATTCAAGAACAGAAAGCTTAACAACTATTGGAAACTGAATAAGAGGGCAAGAAAAGAGATACCATAACAGAGGGAGCCATTATGCACTTAAAGAGAAATCTGGCACTGCAGAAATGTCCAGAGATCTACAAGTTTGACCCCAACTACCAATCTAAGCAATAGGGAGAGGTTACCTTAAATGCCCTCCAATAATGTCCAATAATGTCTCCAATAATGATATTGATGACTACCTTAAATGCCATCCTAGAGCCTTCATCCAGTAGCTGATGGGAGCAGAAGCAGACACTAAAAACTGAGCTGAACTCTGCAGTGCAGTTGCAGAGGCAGAGGAGAGATGAGCAAAGGGGTCAAGGCCAGGCTAGTGAAACCCACAGAAACAGCTGACTTGAACAAGGGGGACTCATGGACCCCAGACTGATAGCTGGGAAACCAGCATAGGACTGTTCCAGACTCCCTGAATGTGGATGTCAGTGTGGAGGTCTAGTTAATCTATGGGGTCTCTAGTAGTGGATCAGTATTTATCCCTAGTACACAAATGGACTTCGAGAGCCCACTCAATACAAAGGGATACTCTCTCAACCTGGACACACATCAGAGGGACTAGGTCTTCCTCCAAATGATATGACAGATTTTGAAGATCCCCCATGAAAGGCCCCACCTTCCCTGGGGAGCAGAAAATGGATGGGATAGGGGATTGGTGGCGAGGGCAGGGGAGGAAGGAAGGGAGAGGGAACTGGGATTGACATGTAAAACAAGCTTGTTTCTATTTTAATTTTTAAAAAGGAAAAAAAGAAAAGCAAAAACACATCAGTATCCTCCTGTTCTACTCTCCCCTCCCCTCTCCCCGTGTCCCTTTCCCAACTCCCTCCTCTCTCTCCCTGTGCTCCCAGTTATCTCAGGGGTTCTCATCCCCCCTCCCCTTCTTTGGGGGACGATGCATTCTCCTCTTTGGGTCCTCCTTGTTTCCTCGTTTCTCTGCAGGTTTGGATTATAGGTTGATATTCCTTTGTTCTGGGTCTAACATCCATATGTTATTGAGTACATACCCTACTTGTCTTTGTGTGACTGAACACCTCATTCAGGATGTTTTCTTCCAGTTCCATCCATTAGCCAGATAATTTCAAGATTTCATTGCTTTTTTCCGCTGAGACAGAGGAGGAATAGAAAAGGCCAAGAATGGAAGATGCTTTGATAGTGGGAGCCAGTATAGCGTTGGAGAGAGGTCTGGCACAGGGACAAAGACAGGGGATCCACAAGGATGACCCCAACTAAGAATCTGGGCAGTGGTGGAGAGACTGCCTTTGATGCCCTTCCCCTATTATGAGATTGATGACTACCTTGGTTGCCATTCCTAGAGCCTTCATCCAGTAACTGATTAAAGTAGGCACAGGCACCCACAGTTAAACACTGAGCCATACTCCTGGAGTCTAGTTACAGAGAGGAAGGAGGGAAGAGCAAAGGAGCCAAGACTTTACTGGAGAAACCCACTGAAACAGTTGACCCTGACCTAGTGAGAGACAAAAAACTGGTGATCCAGAATTAGACTGAACCAAGCCTTCTGAATGTGGGTGCCAGCTGGGAGGTCAAGGTGGTCTATGGGACCTCTGACAGTGGAGCCAGTGTTTATCCCTAGAGCACAGATGGACTTTGGGATCCTATTCCCTATGGAGGGATACGATGGCAGCCCAGATACACGAAAGAGGACCTAGGCCCTCCACCAAATGATGTAAAGGATTTTGATGGTCCCTGTGAAGGGCCTCACTGTCCTTGGGGAATGGGTGGAGAATGGATTGGGGGTTGCTGGGGGAGCATGGGAGGATGGGAGGGTGAGGGAATTGGGGGACTGATATGTAAATAAGAGTGCTTCTTAAAAAATCAATATTCATCCTTCACACAAATGACAAATGGACTGAGAAAGAAATCAGGAAAATGATACCTTTCTCAATACCTTCAAATACTATAAATATCTTGGAGGGGGTAACTCTAACCAAGCAAGAGATTACTATGATAAAAAACTCCAAGTCTTTGAAGAAAAAATTAAAGAAGATATGAGACAATGTAAAGAGCTAACATGTTCGTGGATCAATAGGATTGACAAAATAAAGTAGACATCTTACCAAAGGCAATCTACAGATTCAACACAATCCCCATTAGAATCCCAACAGAATCCTTAGAGACCTTGAAAGAACGATTATCAACTTGATATTGGAAAAAAAGATGCCTAAAACAATCCTGAATAATAAAAGAACTGCTCAAGATACCACCATCCCCAATTTCAAGCTGTACTACAGAGCTGTAGTAATAAGAAGCATACGGGATTGACAGGAAAACAGACAGGGTGGTCAATGGAACTGAATTGAAGACCCACACATAAAGCCACACGTCTTCGGAAACCCGATTTTTTTCATCATTTTTTTTTGTTTTAAAAGTCTCTTCTCATTTTACATACCAATCCCAGTTCCCACTCCCTCCCCTCATCCGGCTCACCTCAATTTCCACCCACCCCAACCCACATCCACTCCTCAGAGAGGGTAAGGTTTCCTATGGAGAGCCAAAGAAGTCTGGTACTTTAGTTTGGGGCAGGACCAGGGCCCTCCCCCCTGTATCTAGGCTGAGTAAGGTATCCCTCCAAAGAAAGTAGGCTCCATGAAGCCGGTTCAAGCACCGGGGAGAAATCCTGGTACCACTGCCGGTGGCCACACAGACGACCCAAGCATCACTACTGTCACCCACATTCAGAGGGCTTAGTTTGGTCCTATGCGGGTTCCCCCACAGTCAGTCTGGATTCAGTGAGCTCCCACTAGCTCAGGTCAGCTGTGTCTGTGTGTAACCCCTAAGTAGTCTTCACCCCTTTGCTCATGTTATCACTCCACTGTCCTTCAAGGGGAGCTGGAAACTACAAGGTCACACAGTAATTATACAGCCATCATCTCATGAGGCAACCCATGAGAATTGTGAATCCTTCTGCAGAGGAAACCAATACGAAAGGCATACTTGGAGTTACAGTCTGATGAATAAAAATGACTCTTCTTGCTGTAGATCCTGCTAGAAGTGTATCCCTTTTGGTGACAAACTTGAGGTTTACTTCACACAGTTGAACACTATCTGATCATTTACTGGGCACAATTTCTCCCCTATGTCTGGAGTTTACTGACTACATTCCCTAGTGCTGTGTGGAACCTGTTCTCCACTAACAGGTCCTAGTTTACTGATTACATCCCTTAGCTATGTGTGAGGCCTGTTTCCTCTATCCGGTCCTTGTTCCTTCTCCACTGCAATTTGAGGGATCTGCCTTCCTGCAATTATCCTTATTGACAGGCATTTGGTCAGTGTTTAGGGCCTAGGAAAAGCATCCCATCTAAGACATTCCTAAATATCCATCATCCATGGTGATCGATTCATAGCAGCCTAGACTGATAGAAGAAATAAGCATGCCCTCATTTTACCTCACTGGCAGACAGAGATGAAATAACCTAAACTAACCCTGCACTAAAAGATTCTCAAACTTCTTGCATTTACCTTCATCCCGGTTTATTACCCAAGATCTTAACTCAGAAATTTACTGCTTGTATTTCCCTGAGATTATCATGATGAAGGTAATCATTCCATTTGTTCATCATCAGGACAAAGTAAGCTTTCCTGGAGACCCGTGCTGTGACACAGCACTGAAAGGTGCCAGGTTCTATTTCTTGTATAAATTAAACTTAGATCCTTTCCTTGACTTAAAGCCCCTAAGTAATTGATGCTAAAAAGCTTCTCTTACCAGAAAAGCACAGCAAAAGAGAGACAAGCAGGCCAAAGGATGCTTGCTTACATTCCTCTCTTGTTTACTAGGTTTCCTGGTCAACTGATACTCCCATGCATGTTGAAAGAAAAGTGGCCACTGAGTAAAAGGACAATCTTTGCCTTATTTGTGATTTGTTTACTGAATACAAGTTTTTAGCTTCTTATCTAACCATTTAAAATGTAGCATAGCACACTAGTCTCCCTTTCTGGAATTCTCTCTTCTTCTCCCTTAAGGAGTTCAGGGGACATTCATTAGCCACTCTCACACTTGAGCCGACAACAAGAATTCCCTCTAGGTGAAGATTCTTTTATTTTTATTTTTTCATTCCAATCCCAGTTCCTGCTCCTCCCACTTCCCATCTGTTCCTCAGAGAGGTAAAGGACTCCCTTAGGAAGTCTACTAAGTCTGTCCCATCATCTCCTTGAGTCAGGACAGATACACCTCTCCACACCCACACACCCTTGTCCAGGCTGGACAAGGTAACTCTCCAGATAGAATGGGTTCCATTGACTCAGTTTGTGCACCAGAGTAAGATCTTGAGTGCACAACCAGTGGCCTCATATGTTGTCCAACCACACCATTGTCACCTACATTAAAGGAGTTTAATTCAGTCTCATGCAGGTTCTGCATTTGTAAGACCAGAGTCAGTGATCTCTCTGTGTGAAGATTCTTATCTGTGTTTTATGGTGTAAAACAGGTCCAGTCCTGGACACTTCAACAACTGGAAGATGGGTGGTTGTAAGGGTAAATAGGCTGAAAACATTTTGTAGTGGAAGAAGAATAAAGAAACCTGTAGAGGAGCAATCACATGTAAGTCAATTCTTTCCCTCAGACTCACTTAGCTATTTTTTCCTTCACAGGACCCTGTAAGGGATCCCAAACAAGGGGCTGGTACCCTTTAAAGGATCCCAAAAAACAGGATTCTGGGAGCTCACACAGTGCTTACCTGTGGATCTCTGAATCTGCTCCCCTCGGTTGCTGAATGAAGGTCCTCTGATGACAATTGGAGGTAGTCATCAATCTGATTACAGGAGAAGGCCAGCTTGGGGATCTTCTGCACGAATGCTTAGGGTCTTAGTTGGGGGTCATTCTGGTGGATTCCTGGGAATATCGCTTGTGCTATGTTTCTCAGTTGACCCATAATGAGTCCCTCAATCAAGATAACATTATCCTTGATCTTCTTCTTTGTCCTTCCCCCATTTTTACCATCCCATTCCCTCACATTCTCCTCCATTCTTCTCTCTACCTCTTCTCCATCCCTCAATTACCTCCCACCCCCAATGCTCTCAATCAGTTTTCTCAGGAGGTCTGGTCAATTTCACCTTCCCAGGAGGATCCTTGTAGGTCTCTCTTAAGGTTCTCCTTGTTACCCAGCTTCTCTGTGGTCATGGACTTTAGGATGGTTATCCTTTCCTTTGTCTAATATCCTCTTATGAGAGAGTGCATACCATGTTTGACTTTCTGGGTCTGGGTTACCTCACTCAGTATGGCTTCTACATTCACCCATTTTCCTACAAATTTCAAGATGTTATAGTATTTACTGCTGAGTAGTGCTCCATTGTGTAAATGTACCACATTGTCTTTATTCATTCTTCAGTTGAGGGGCATCTAGGTCGTTTCCAGTTCTGGCTATTACAAATAATGCTGATATGAACTTGGTTCAGCAAATGACCATGTAGTATGAGTGTGCATCTATTGAGAATATGCCCATGAATGATTTTGCTTGGTCTTGAGGTAGATTTATTCCCAAGTTTCTGAGAAACCGATAGACATACTGGATTCAAAAGTGATTAAAAATTTGTATTCCCACCAGCAATGAAGGAGTGTTCCCCTTTTTCCACTTCATCTCCATCATAAGCTATCATAGGTGTCTTTTATCTTAGCCATTGTGAATGGTGTATTATGGTGTAATATGGATCAGAGTCATTTTGGTTTTCATTTTCCTGATGGCTACAGATGTTGAGCAATTCCTTAAATGTCTTTTGGCCATTTGAGATTCTTCTACTGAAAATTCTGTTTAAATCTGAATCCCATATTTTAGTTGGATTTGGTTTTTAGATGTCTAATTTTTTTATACATTTTGGAGATCAGCTACCTTTCTGATATACAGTTGTTGAAGATCTTTTCCAATTCTATGGGCTGCTGTTTTGTCTTGTTGACTGGGTCCTTTGCCTTACAGAAGCTTCTGAGTTTCAGGAGATCCCATTTATTAATTGTCGAGTGTCTGTGCTCCTGGTGTTATATTCAGGAATGGGTTTCCAGAACCAATTCATTCAAGGGTACTTCCCATTTTCTCTTATAAGAGGTTGAGTGTGACTGGATTTATGTTGAGGGCTTTGATCCACTTGGACTTAAGTTTTGTGCATGGCGATAGACTTGGATCTATCTGCATTCTTTTACGTGCTAGCATCCAGTTATGCCAGCACCATTTGTTAAAGATGCTATCTTTTTTCCATTGTATAATTTTAGCTTCTTTGTTGAAAATCAGCTGTTCATAGGCGTGTGGATTTTTTCAAGAATTTCAAATCAATTCCATTGGTCTACCTGTCTGTTTTTGTGCCAGTACCTATAGCTCTTGAGTAGAGCTTGAAATCAGGAATGGTGATGTCATTAGAAGGTCCTTTATTGTACAGGATTGTATTGTCAATGCTGGGGTTTTTGTTGATGTTGTTGTTGTTTTTCCACATGAAGTTGAGTATTGTTCTTTCAAGTGGACACCCAATTTTTTTTCTTTTTTTCCTTTTTTTAGTTTTTCAAGACACAGTTTCTATGTATTGTTTTGGAGGCTGTTCTGGAACTTGCTCCATAGACCAGGCTGGCCTTGAACTCACAAAGATCCACCTGACTCTGCCTCCCAAGTGCTGGTAATAAAGGGGTACACCACCAATGCCCAACTGACACCCAATTTTTTATAGGTAACTGTTTCTTGTAAAAATTACTCACAAGAGACCCAAGGAGACATCATGCAGAAAGAGAGTCTAAATTAAAGATCTCCATTGCGTCCTTCATACTGCCGCTCAGAGAAACCTGATGAAGAGGTACTCAAGAAAGCCTGTAACAGAGAGGGAGGACTGATGACCAAAGGGATTAAGACTGGGCTGGTTTAACCCCAGAAACAGCTGACCTGACAAAGTTTAACTCTTGAATCCCAGGCATCAGCTTGGGAATCCCACATAGGACTGATCAAGACACCCTGAATGTGGGTGTCAGTGAGGAGGCCTAGGAAATCTATTGAGCCTTGGGCAGTAGATCAGTACTCCATTGTGTCCTTCATATTGCCACTCAGAGAAACCTGAAGAAGAGGTAAGAAAGACTGAATGATTGAGAGGTGACAGAGGACACCAGGAAAATATGACCCACTTCTTCTTCTAAGCAGGGCTCTTTGGAGATCAAGGGACTAAAGCATCTATCTTGGGGCCCACATGGGTCTGCATCAGGTGCTCTGTGCATATGTTACGTTTGTTAGCTTGGTGTTTTTGTGGGACTCCTAACAACAGGAGCAACATTGTCTCTGACTCCTTTGCCTGCTCTTGGGACTCTTTCCTCCTATGGAATTGTCTTCTCCAGCCTTGATATGACAGCTTTTCCTTTCTGTTGTTCTATCTTGTTTTATCATGTTTGGGTGATAACTCTTGTAGGCCTGCTTTTTTCTGAAGGAAAACAGAGGAGGAGTGCATCTGGAGAAATGGGAGTTGGAAGGGAATGAAGAGAAGAGAGGAGAGTGGAAATAGAGATCAGGGTGTATTTTATGAGAGAAGACTCTACTTTCAATTTTAAAAAAATAAAAACAAACAGGAAAAACCCAGGACAACCAGATTCTACCGGTGTAGACCTGAGGCCCAGAGGAGGTAAATGCCAGGGATTTCAGGAACTCGTTCCCCCAAGGTGAGCCTCCTTCTGCTTCACTTCCGGTCCACAGTCATCCCCTTCTGGATCAGCCTGCACCTACTGCTCATCCAGACCACTGGAGGTGGCCCTCTACACCACGACCAAGGAGCGACCCCGTGGTGACCCGCCCTGGTTGTGCTCCTCCAGGGCAGCCTGGGACAGTGTGGATCTCCCCCCCCTGCTCCTTGGGCCTCCACTGGGGTCCCTGAAAGGCAGGAGCTGGCGCTGTGGCAGAGGCCAACCCCCCTCCCCAGCTACTCTGTCCACCTTGCCAGGAAAGGCAGAAGGAGAAAAGAAAAGCCCATGGAGCGGCAGCAGTGGTCTCAGAATGTGTGGGTTTAAAAAAGTGTCAAATCTCCAGCTATTGCAGATCCCAGCCTCCTGCAAGACGGATAGTGGAGGGGACGATTCTTTAAGAAAAGCATGCCTGGCTTGGTTTTGAAGTCTATGTCAGCTCCTGTCATGGGTGGTCTCTGGAGGAGAACAGTCTAAAGTAGCAGTCAGCATGGGTGAGGATGATGAATATGAAACTTACTACACTCACTATCAACATCTACACGAGGACCAGGAGAAGGCTTTGACATTCCCATGTCTGTAGGTTGTTGGCACTGGTGACAATCCTGTGTTGATGTCAACAACGCAATACAGTCACATTCCAAAGTAGGATGTCCACAGGGTGGCAAGGAAGATTGAAGAGGAAAGCAATGCTGTGCAGAGAAATAAGAAATGAAGAATTGACGCTGCACAGAGATGTCCTACAGGATATAGAAGAGAGAAACAGGGTTCTGCTATTAAGGGGATCTCCCTTACAAAAACCACACAAAGAATTCTGTAATTCCAGTCACATCGCAGGTATTGTACCACATATACAGACACTCAGTACTTAGCAGAGAAATCACATCTCCTTTTAGACTCTTGATTGCCAACATTTTTTGAGGTGTAGAAGGGGGCATCTAGGTTCTCATCTTAGGGCTCTCTAAAGGCCCCATGGGCTCTCTTCTGCTCTTCCAAGCATCCAGCAATACAACTCCAAGGCTTAACACAATGATGATAGCCATAATGAGCCGGATACTATTCTCCAATCTGTAATTTGAAGTAGAAGACACTGTAGAGGAAAAGAAAAGCAAAATTTCAAGATTTTATCTCAACAAACAACTTTATTTTGAGCTTTTTTCTCTTAAATGACTACATGTGGTGATATGTTATTAATGAGCTAGTGGCCAGATGCTTTGCTTTTCTGATCTTCAGCTTGAAGCTTAAAACCAGAAGATTAGTCTCTGGGGCTTCTATTTATTGTACTGCCATTGGAGCCCAGCCTTAAAACAGGAATTCACCAAAAAGCCTCTTTGAGGCCACCAGGCCTGGCCCAAAGCTGTGCTGCAGGCAGGGACTCCTGCCTGAATCTCTCCTGCTTGGGTCCCTCATGACCAGCTAGGTTTTCTTTTGCTCCCTCCTCAATTTTTTGAGCAAATGTGGGATTTTGCAGATGTAGCTTTTTTAAACAGTCTTCAGATGCTACCAAAATTCAGCAGACTTTTGGCCTTTTCCTAAGGAAATGTCCAGGAATCCACAAGGATGACCGCAATTAAGAATCTAGGCTATAGCAAGGCTACCTTAAATGCACTTCCCCTATAATGTGATTGATGATTACCTTAAATGCCATCATAGGGCCTTCATCCAGTACCGGAAGAAAGCAGAAGCAGAGATTCACAGCCAAGCAATGCGCCAAACTGAGTTGAAGACAGGGAGGAGTGAAGAGCAAAGTGGTCAAGGCCATGCTAGTGAAACCCACAAAAAATGTTCTTTTAAAAAATTAATCCTTTTCTTTAAGAATTTTCATTGACTTTTGAAATATGCCGACAGTTTCAGTGACGTGTGAGGTGTAGCATGTCTCAACCAGAGAACTAGCTTGTGACGGTGAGCTGAGAGTTTCAGCCTGAGGAGAGGGGCTCTAGGAAAAGACCAAAAGCCTGCTGAGTTTTGGTGCCATCTTAAAACTGTTTAGAAAAGCTACATCTGAGAAATCCCACACATGCTCAACCTTACAGGCAGTACAAAAAATGTTTAATGTGAACGTTTTTGGGGTGAGTGGATATTGAATGTTGAGTAGAAAGACAATAAGGTAGCTGGGTGAAAGGTGAACTTTGTGTGACAGAAAGCACATAACAAGAAGAAACAGGATTTGAAAAATGTTTTTGGAACACAAAAAAAATGGTTTGATGATGATCCATGTGAGAACTGACAGGGAAAGAAGATCCTGAAGAGATCTTGTTCAAAGGGGACACACGGACTCTCTGTCAATACAAGGGCAGGTGTGAGAGGATGCATGGATGCTGTCCAGCTGGGGGCTCTGTTGAGAAGTGTGTTAGATGTCTGCAAAGACGGATTTCTTCTTTTGATAGATTTCCAATGTCCCATTGGATATATAGCTCTAAACATCATAGATGATGTCTTGGCTACAGCAATAAAGTTAAAATCCATCAAGAAATGTGACATGGAAGTGGGTGCCTAGATATGTGCAGCCCCAAACATCTGCCACCTGCTCACATAAAAACTCACCATGTGCCATCCCTGTCTCTATTCTACATGGGATGTCTTCCGCCTGCCTCCTCATGTCCGTCTTTCCTCTTTAACCCGTGTGCAATTGATGTTTTCTTTCCCAAGCTTTCTATCTCATGAACTTCCATGGCCCTGCCCACTTTGTTCTCCAAACTCGAAACATGTCCAATCTCTCAAAACCCCAAGAAATCCCAAATGACCATAGGTACTACGATATAAAGAAATAAGTCTCCTCCATAAAGAAATCTGACACTGCTGTTCCTGAGTTCTCTTCTGTCAATGTTTCCTACGTTCTCCACTGGACTGATGGACTGATGGTTGTTCAGAGGAGACAATGTGAGAACAAAAGGTGCTGGGACATGGAAGTGTAGCTCTCATCTCTCATCAAGGAAACTTCATCACGCAGCAGACAAAGACCATTGCACATTACATTACATATACCACTACAGACACAAAAAACCAAAATGCGGCGTTGCGGAGCTCAGCTGCAGTGCATACATATACAAAACAACTCCTACATGGTGGAAGAGGAGAAAGGATTGTAGGAGCCAAGCAATCAGGGAATCTGCTGTGGAATTGTGACTCCTACAAATGTCAGATGCAACAACCAAAATGATTGTCTAAACATGAGCTGGATAAAGACAACAAAACAGACTTGACAAAATGGATGGGAGAAAGCCCATGAGCCCTCAACCCAAGATAAGTAACTACAGAGAACTAGGAATTTCCCACTATAGGGGGGAGAAATAGTCTTCCCCAATTGGTTATCCAACACCAAAAGGTCAGCCCTGGAAACATACAATAACATTATACAGGCTAAGCATGTTATATTAGAAACACACATGTATAATCACATACATACATGCATGTAAGAGAAATCAATGGGAAGTGAAGCCAATGATTTGAAAGAGAACAAGAAGGGATATATGGAAGAGTTTAGTGTAAGGAAAAAGAAGGTAGAAATGATATATCATACTCTAAAAGGAAATGAAAAAAACATGATTTCTCGAGACCTAAAAAATCATAATCAATGGAGAAACAAGCAGATATTTGTAGGAGGAAGTCTGATGCCGCCATTAAACATGTGACTTACTAGAGGCGTATACAGATGAGGTAATAAAAGAGCGGTTTACCACACCACTAACCACACCCACTTTAGGCAGGACTAAAGACGTATACGGCTGGATGTAAAGACGTATACGTACGTAGGCGGAACTACGTCACTAGCCATGCCCACTTTGGCATGCCCCAAAAAGAGAGATTATCCGGTCATTCCCAGTGACAGTGGAGGACAGCCTCTCCCAGGACAATTAGAAGATCCACTGCCCATTGTAAATAATACGGCACTGGACAATACATTAGCTCCAGAGGATGAATCAATTACATCAGGAGGAGATACAAAACATATATTTTGACAAACTTCTATACAATATCATAGACCCAAGCTACCAGTTAAGGTAAATAATAGGGTGATTTACGGATTACTGGACACAGGAAGTGACGTCACTATCCTTAATCAGCAGTCCTGGCCACACAACTGGGCTTTGAAAGATGTTAATGTTCAATTCTTAGCGATTGGAACCCTATCTGAAGTTAAACAGAGTGTTAGATGGAGTGACTTTATTGGGCCAGAAGGACAGAGAGGAAGGTTAAAGACATATGTTGCAGATATTGCTATAAACCTCTGGGGTCGTGATCTACTCCAGCAATGGAATACACAGATTAACATTCCTCCTGTATCAGCTAGGAATTATAGACAAGCCCTTAGTGGTAGAAAGAATATAGTAAGGCAGTACAGAAAACAGATGCAAAATGTACAGGCCGTACAGAAGCAAGAGGCTAGTGCCAAACATACAGAGCAACCAAAAGCTCTACCATTAAAATGGCTGACAGATGAACCAGTCTGGGTGGGTCAATGGCCTATGACATCTGAGAAGTTAGAGGCTTTGGAGATGTTAGTTCAGGAACAGCTAGATGCTGGACATATTGAGGAATCAACTAGTGCATGGAATTCACCTGTTTTTGTTGTCAAGAAGAAGTCTGGTAAGTGGAGAATGGTTACTGATCTTAGAGCCATCAACAAGGTAATTCAGCCTATGGGGTCTCTACAACCTGGGATGCCGTTACCTTCTCTAATTCCTAAGGATTGGCCAATTATAGTTATAGACTTAAAAGATTGTTTCTTCACCATACCGTTACAAGAAAACGACAGAGAAAAGTTCGCCTTCACGGTACCTACCTATAATAATTCCCGTCCGGTACAGAGATTCCAGTGGAAGGTACTACCTCAAGGTATGTTAAACAGTCCAACTTTGTGTCAATATTTTGTGAATAAACCTCTAGAAATAATTCGTAAAAAATGTCCACATTCGTTAATATATCATTATATGGATGACATATTATTGTCTGATTCAAATAAGGATACTTTGGAAAAGATGTTTGAGGCAGTAAAGGAAATTTTGCCTCGCTGGGGATTACAAATTGCCCCAGAAAAAATACAAAGAGGAGATTCTATTAACTATTTAGGTTATAAAATAGATGCTCAGAAAATTGGACCACAGAAAGTGCAGATCAGAAGAGATCGTTACCGGACTCTTAATGATCTTCAAAAACTATTAGGAGAAATCTCTCAATTACAGACGATTATTGGTGTAGAAGGGCATGATTTAAAACACCTGAAAATGGCTTTAAAAGGAGATGAAGACCTAAACAGCCCACGAGTACTATCAGCTGAGGCTGAAAAAGAATTAGAATGGGTAGAAAAGAGAATATTAGAAGCACATGTGGACCGTGTGGATCCAAATCTGGACTGTATTCTGGTTATTTTACCATCTAGAGAATACCCCTCAGGAATATTGATGCAGAGGGAAGACATCATTTTAGAATGGGTATTTCTGCCACATAAACAGAATAAAAAATTGAAAACATATATAGAAAAGATCTCTGATTTGATATTAAAAGGTAAATTAAGGCTTTGTCAACTGACTGGGAAAGACCCAGCTGAAATTATTGTACCTTTAATGAATGAGGAAATTTCCTCCTTATGGAAGGATAATGAGTATTGGCAAATAGCTTGCAGTGACTTTTTGGGAAGTATTAGTAATAACTATCCCAAAACAGAGAGAATCAAATTCATAAAGAAAACAATTTGGATTCTTCCACGTATCGTGAGGCAAACACCTATTTCTGGAGTTGTTACCTTCTACACGGATGCAAACAAATCAGGTAAGGCAGGGTATAAATCAGGAAATATAAGTAAAGTAGTTCAAAGCCCTTACAACTCTGTACAAAAGGCAGAGTTATATGCCATTTTCATGGTACTTAAAGACTTTACAGAGCCTCTCAATATAGTCACGGATTCTCAGTATGCAGAAAGAGTTGTCTTGCACATTGAGACTGCAGAATTTGTTCCTGATAATACAGAATTAACCTCATTCTTTTTACAATTGCAGGAAATCATCAGAAACAGGACTCATCCTATATATATAACACACATCAGATGCCATACAGGTCTGCCAGGTCCTCTGGCACAAGGCAATGAGGAAATTGATTGTTTATTAGTAGGTAATGTGTTGGAAGCTTCAGAATTTCATAAGAAACACCATGTTAACAGCAAAGGTTTAAAGAAGGATTTTTCTATCACCTGGCAACAAGCCAAAGAAATAGTAAGAAATTGTCCCAGTTGCTCATTGTACAATCAAACTCCATTACCAGCAGGTTGTAATCCTAAAGGTATTCACAGAAATGAACTTTTGCAAATGGATGTATTTCACTTCCCAGAATTTGGCAGTTTGAAATATGTACACCATACTATTGACACGTTCTCAGGCTTCCAATGGGCTACTGCCCTCAGCTCTGAAAAAGCTGACTCTGTTATTACACACCTCTTAGAGGTGATGGCTGTTATGGGTATACCTAAAACAATAAAAACTGACAATGCTCCAGCATATGTCTCCAGTAAATTGGAACAATTCTTCAAATATTATAATATAAAACATGTAACTGGTATACCTTACAATCCCACAGGACAAGCAATAATTGAAAGATCTAACCGAACCTTAAAAGAGATGCTTCATAAACAGCCAGGGAAAACAAAGACACCTAAACACAGGTTACACAATGCTTTACTAACGTTGAATTTTCTTAATGCTGATGAGAAAGGACAAACTGCAGCAGAAAGACACTGGACTACAGAGAAGACTTCTGAACTGAACCAACCGGTGTATTTTAAGGATGTTATGACCTCAGTCTGGAAACCAGGATATGTGTTACGTTGGGGAAGGGGTTATGCTTTTGTTTCCACAGGGGAAGAAAAGGTTTGGGTTCCATCAAAATTAATTAAAATTCGATCAGAACAGAAAACATCTCAGGAGGAGGAAGATAACAGCCCATCTACAAATTCATAGTCCACCATGGGTAAAGTGACCTCCTAAAAGGAAAGAGAAGTGTTTTGTTGTTTGTATTCACAGATAAACTCAGCAAAGAATACTGGACATATGGATACCTGTAGAAGAATGAATAGCTACCCTGAGGACCATCAAACAAACAGTATCTCACTGTGTGGTATCAAAGTCTAAATCTCTCTATATTGTGTTTTCATAGTACCCTTTTATCTTTATTTCTTCACATACCTCAGTTCCCATTCATTTAACTGAAGCTGGCTTTGGAGTTGGATTGGCTCTCCTACTCTAAACTCAAGCATAATATTTAAATACGATTCAGAATTTCTGTATTATATCAAAAGAGCCATTGATATAAGACAGAAGAAATAAAATGAGGGACTGTTATCTGTGGATTTCTTTTTCTGAACAGTCTAATTTCCTCCAGGTTTTCCATCTTCCCTATTGTCACCTCTTCTGTATGTATACATATAAAAGTTAAAATATTTCTTTGTTAACATTAATGTTTGAGTTTTCCAGAGAACAAGGGATTTCCTGACAGCAATCTTCAACTGCTTCCGAAAGACAATGAGGATCCACTTCCTTGACTTCGCCTGATTCGACTGGAGGCATCTGAACTGCCCCACATCATTGACTCCACCTGACAAGCACTATCCTGAAACTGGCTTGAAACTACATCACTCTACACAACTCCGGATCAAGAAACTGAAACGGCACATCTTCTACAATCTGGCCAGAGCTTCAGATGAGAGCTTCAATCAACACTAGAACCCCAGTCAGGAACTTCAATCAAGCATCTCCTGCCATACTGAGACTGTCTGATCTACTGAGATTTTGTTATACTAACATTTTCTTTTCACAGGTCCCCATGAGATTATCATCGTCCCATCTCAGCAGGAAGTAGTTTTGAGAATTCCATGCCCCCTCTCCCTACCATTGATATTATAAGATAGTTTACACCTGTTAGTGTTAGTTTTCAATTATTTTTAGAGTTGGGATTGGAAGGAGGTGTTCATATTTGGGTGTTTCTTTCAGATAAGTTTAGGTTTAGATAGAATAGATGTTTGATACATTTTGTTCATGGACACAAGTTAGTTGTCCTTTTTAGACTAAAAGGGGAATTGTAGGAGGAAGTCTGATGCCGCCATTAAACATGTGACTTACTAGAGGCATATACAGATGAGGTAATAAAAGAGCGGTTTACCACACCGCTAACCACACCCACTTTAGGCAGGACTAAAGACGTATACGGCTGGATGTAAAGACGTATACGTACGTAGGCGGAACTACGTCACTAGCCATGCGCATTTGGGCATGGCTAGGGGGTGATACGGGGAAGGCATAAAAGGCAGCACACAGGAAGTCTCGGGCTCTTTTCCTGGAGTTCAGCTTCCAGTTCGGCAGACGAAAACTCCTTGTCTCCTCTGGGTTTGGTATCTTGTGAGTAATTTCTACATTAAATACTTAGATTTACTTTCAGTAATTGTGTGTCACGTATCGTTACAGCGTCCGTTGAAGCCTACAGATATTCTTTCAATTTTTCCATCACCATCAGCTACTGATATGATTGTCACACACACTCAAGGTCAGAAAGGAACAATGAAGGATAACAGTTATCGAACAAGTGATACACCACCTTTCCGTCTGGTTCCCACTATGGATAGGTGATGGGAGAAGTTCTGTACATTTGTTAATAAAGCACAGTTGAGCCAATAGGAATCTAGATAGGTGGGACTAGGAGTCCAGCAGGATTCTGGGAAGGATAAACACAGGAGAGTTCGAGATGTAGCCATGGGGTAGGAAGCCCGGAACTATTCTCCAGTAAGAGAAATACTTAGATTAACAATTATGGGGTAATTACTTAAGTCAGAGCTAGCCAGTAAGAAACAAGCAAAGCCAACAGCTTCATAATTAATATAGCCTCCTGTGTGTTTACTTGGGACTGATGCGGCTCTAGACTAGGCTGGTGGGAAGGCTTCTCCCAAAGAAAAAGGCTTCTCTTTACAGATAGGTGAGTACTTCTATTCACCAAACAAATACACTTGTATCTGACCCAAAAACAATAAAATTAACTCATAACCTTCAGTGTCCATGATGTACATGAAGCACTTACAGTAAGAAGATCAGTGCAATGGACAACATATAACACACAGGAAACTAGCAGTGGAATTGACATATTACACATGGCATCCCTTGAGTCCTCTCTAAGCACAGACATGAGGAAAAAGAACCAGACATACTTACCCGGGATTGACAACTTCAGGGGATCACTAGGCAGTGACCACAAGGAGGGACTGTGTTCATAAGAAGCAAAGCATCTGTAGGTCCTCCTGTGCCCTGGGCTCACAAGGGAGATGAGGAATGTGCTGTGGGACTGATGTGAACAGTTCTGGGGGAAGGAGGCATTTCCATCTCTGCAGAGGATGAAGATGTTAAATGGAGAGTGTGTGTGACAGAGGAGAGTCACATTTCTTTCTGGGAATCCCTGAGGTCCTGAATCCACAGTAAGGGATGGCGTCTCCATGTAAACACCTGAAAGTAAAAAGACCCTGCTACTAGTTGGCCATGGTGGCACGTGCCTTTAATTCCAGCACTATGGATGCAGAGGCAGATGGATCTTTGGGAGTTTAACAACAACCTGCTCTCTATCCAGGTTTCAAGTCCAGAAAGAGTTACATGGTGAGACCCACTCTCAAAAGAACTACAAATGACCCTTATATCAGGCCTCTATTGCAGTAATGACCACCATGAACAAAAAGTTGGGGAGGAAAGGGTTTGTTTGGCTTACACTTCAACATTGTTGTTCATCACTGAAGAAGTCAGGACAGGAACTCACACATGGTAGGATCCTGTAGGCATGAGCAGATGCAGAGGCAAAGTGGACTGGCTTGCTTCCCATGGCTTGCTCTGATCTCATTCTTATCAAACCCAGGAGCACCATATCAAGCATGACACCAGCCACTCTGGTATGAACACTTCCCCATTGATCACTACTTCAGAAAATGCATTGCTTCTGCATCTCATGGAGGCACTTCCTCAACTGAGACTCCTTCCTCTCTGGTGATTCTACATTGTGTCAAGCTGACAAAAATCTGGATAGTACAGCTCAGAGTCTGACCAGAGAGAAACATGAAGACAACAGGAAACTCATCTATTGCTAATCTACAGAGATAACAAAACATGGTTCAATTACTTATCCATGAACCAGAACATAGAGAGGCTCTAAGTATGTATAGAAGGCTGATGTCAGATCCCATGAACTCCATCACTTAGGGGCTATAGTCACATTTCTGAAGGGAGTCCAGAACATGGACAGAACAGATGGAGGATGACAAACCAAACACAGGGTCTGGGGTTGAATCTTAGTTGGTAGAGTTCTTGGCTAATGTACACAATGTACTGTGTTCTCTGTTCATCACTATATGTGTGGTGTCATTGTCCAGGTCAGTATTGGTAGTACTAGGAAAGTAGGTGAGGAGGGATCATTAATTCAAGATTGTGTTTGGCTACACGTTCGAGGCCAGTATGAAATATGTGAGAACATGTCTCAAAGAATCCTGTCAATAAAAATGGAAATAATAAAGCAGAGGATCAAATGAGAAAAGAAGACACAAGAGAAGAGGAGCAGAGATGGGAGGAGAGAAGGGGAGGGGAGAGGAGGGGAGGGGATGAGAGAAGGGGAGGGGAGAGGAGGGGAGGGGAGGAGAGAAGGGGAGGGGAGAGGAGGGGAGGTGAAGGGAAATGAGAGGAAGGGATAACAGGGGAGAGTGGAGGAGGAGAGGAGCATGGAAAGCAGGGGAAGAGGAGAGGAAAGGAGATGGGAGGGGAGGAGAGGGAAGGGGAGGGGAGAGGGAGAGATATTAATATAGGGAAGCAGAGATACAGGGCAGGACCTCTGATTGGGCATACGTGGTTCAATAAGGTAGGCATCAGAGACTGATGCTGAAGAATGGTATACTGGGGCAGGTCCTTACCTGTCACCACCAGCTCCAGTCTGTCACTAATTTGTGACCATTCTCCTCCCTTGGTGTATTCACAGTAGTAAATCCCTGCACTGATGTGTGTCATATACTGCAGACTGAATTCAAACACCTCCTGGGCTTCCTCTGGGGTACTTTCAAACCATTTCATATAAGGTCCATAATGGTATAGACGGAGTGTGGTCACCCCTGGAGGGGTCCTGCAGAAGATGCTCACATCACTGCCTGTGGAAATCACAGCTCCTGGAACTGCCCAGATGGAAGGTTGGGGTAGTAGCCCTGGAGAGACATAGGAAAAAAGCACCTGTCATCTAATGTCAGGAGAAACAGGACCCCAAGGAGTCATAGAGTAGCTCCCACAACAATTACTGATCAAGACAATGCCCCACAGACATGCCCATAAGCCACCATGGGGAGGGGGATTTCCCGGCTGATGTCCCTTCGTCCCAGATCACTCTCCCTTGTGTCTTGTTGAAAGAAAAGTAAACAGCTCACCTCCAAAGTGAAGTCTCATCATTTTCAGAATTAAGTTCCTGGCATATTTCCAAAGACCTAATCATCTTTACTCTTCCCAAACAATGTAAGAATAACTCCCATACATTTGTGCTATCAACCAACCCAGGAATGAATACTGTGAGTTTCCATTCCTATCACCAAACCTTCCCACTTCCTTGGCCAGAGCAGCAGGAAACCCCATTAAATCACTAAGCTATGTCTGACTTTGACTCTTGCTTCCATATCAAACCTAAGCACTATTCCATCTCCAGTATGACACACAGCCTGGGAGCCTCTGAGAATAAATGAACCCAATCCGTGCAGCATATACATTAGATAGCATTTATTATCCTCTATCTCATGGAGCTTTCATCTTCCCAAGAACAGATCTCAGTAAGAGGGCCAGACATAGGCAAGTTAAGACCATTAATACTGAGAGAGATTAAGGACCACTGATTGCTCTTTCTTGTTTGTTTTGGAATGGTTGGTGGTAGTGGAATTATATGTGGATTTCCACCCCTTTTCTCTTTTGGCTGTTGGTAAAGTGGGATTATCTATTGCCTATGTTTTTCTGGTTGTAGTTGAATTCCTTGGGTTGCTGATGCAGAAGTCCTGTGTATATGTCAATAAAGCACTTTTGGCCAATGGGGAAGCAAGATATGTGAGACTAGGAGTCCAGGAGGACTCAGGGTAGGAGAAACACAGGGAGTCAACATGTAACCGCCATAGGGATAAGAAGCCCTGAAACTTCTCTGGTAAGAGAAAATACTTAGATTAACAATTATGGGATAAATACTTAAGTCAGAGCTAGCCAGTAAGAAACAAGCAAGGCCAACAGCTTCATAATTAATACAGCGTCTTATGTGTTATTTGGGAATCTTTACATAATGGTGACAGAACGGGATTTAATTTCCACATAGAACAACAAAAGATTTAAAGGAATTTTAGAAACAAAAGAATGGAGAAAAGCATGGGTTTTTGGTAGCAGCATTTTCTCAGGTGGGCTCTGTTTTGCTATCAACAATTAGAGACTCTCTCGGATGGCTTAAGGGAGTCTTCCTGACTCAGCATAAGCAAAAAACAAAAAACAAGGTTCTTTTAAGAGGCTCTGCTAACGATTGAAAGGTGTGTGTGTACAGCTGGAAGTGGCAGAGACCACATCTCTAGGCCAGCAGCTTTTGCAGGATCTCAGCATAGACTGAGACAGTGAACTGGAATCATGCTTACGCCCGCCATCTTAGAAAAACTGCAGTTTAAACAGCCACGGTTTTAACAGATAAGACACGTGGCCAGAAAAACATAAAGATTTACAGTAAAGTCAGACTTGGATCAAGAAAAATCTCTAAAGGTTTACAATATACGTTTAAAAATATACGTAAGATTGAGAGAGAAAAAGAAACGGCATAGTGGTAAATAAATAGAGAAGCCGGCTGTGGTGGTGCAAGCCGGTAGGAGTTACTCCAGAGGCAGAGGCAGGCGGAATTCCAGAGAAACCCTGTCTCAGAGAAATAAATAAATGAATCAAAGTAAAAGAAATAGAGTAATAGTAATAGATAAATAAATAAGCCACGTAAAGATGGAAAATACACAGAAAGTCTGGATACTGTATACTATTGTGTTTTTCAGTTTGATTGCTAAAGAAGGAAAAACTGCTAAAATATACTTGTTTATAAATGCTGCTGAATTAATCCAACTTATATATTTCAAAAATGTTTTGACCTCTAACTTTAAGTATAAGGACAGGTTACTTGGGAAAAGAGTTTTTTGTTTATTTTTCCACAGAAAATAGAAAGCTGTGGATTATTTCCAAGCTTCTGTGGTTTGATGAACCAAGATCCCCGGAAGCAATGGCCCAAGTGATTCAACATCTAAAACACCTAAGATGGTGGAGCTTTACAGACCATGAAAATAAGGATTTATACAGGTTTCTGAATTTTGGCATGATCCCCATGGTATGAACAGTGCCCCCTTCCAGCACAAAGCAGTTTGGAATGAGCGACATCCAAATCCCCATATTGCTTATAAATCTTTCTTTTCATTTGAATGGGGTTGTTTATAATTGGTTAATGATCACAACCAATCTCTTTTAAAGGAAAAAGGGGGTTATGGTATGGAAATGAGTACTTTGTATTGGTATGTTTTTTCATTTATTGATACAAATTCAAGGTCAATTTTGTGATGTGTATATTTCAACTCTTGATTAAGTATTATGTTTATACTAATCTTTTCAAACATAATGCATAATTAAATACAGATTATAGATAGTTATTTATAATAGTCAGAACTTATAGTTAGGTAAGTTAGGTTTTCTAGATATACAGAAATATATTTGAGGTAGATAGTCTTCAAACCTTTCAAAGACCTTCAGAAAATGGCATTTAAAATGGTTAAGGGTTTTTCTTGACAATGAGAAATGTCTGCTCCTGGTATCACCAATTACATCTGAGAGGAAGATGGGCATCAAAGAGACTCGTTATGGAGTTTGCTTTCAACATGGCAAGTGTCAGGGACCTCCAGCCATCAGTCAGCTAGGCTGTATCACATACTCATAGAGAAGACATGACACTAAGACCACCCTGCCACCCCTTCTGACATAAAGCCTGGGGTTTAACAGTCAGTTAAAGATTAGCTTAATTGGAAAAACTACAAGGTCCTCAGTAGACAGGCCTGAGCAGTAGTAAATTGTAATAGATAGAATCGGATCCTGCTGTCAGGTTAACAAGCAACATAGGAATTCCTACCCCTGACCCCTTGTCCTGTAGATTTGGTAGCCAGGCAACGCAGCAGACCACCTCTCCCACTGACCTCTTTCCCCTGCAACAGCAAGCACACCTTCCCCCTTCCCCTCCTCACTTCTCCTATATAAATCCCTTTGTGATGAAATAAAGATGTCGCCTTGATCAGAATCCTGTCTTGGCGTCCATTCCTGTATCCCCTGTCCTCCATCATTCTCCTAGGTGTCCACCAGACCGACGTTGAATGTCCTGCAGGTCGGGACATATTTGGTGCCCAGCGTGGACTGAAGTCGGGTAGCCAGGAGGAAGACACCGCTCACGGAGTGAAGGGCCCTTCCAGATCATCCCCCAGAGGATGGCACAGTCTTCATTTCGGTGACCCGCCGAAAAGAGCGAGACAGGCGAGGTGGTGAGCAACAGCGCAGATCTTACAGCCAATGTAAGTGATAGGACAGGCATTCTCTTAAAAGTCTCTCTTTCTTTCCGGGCTCAAAGAAGCCCTCAGGGTACAAGGAATTGGGGTGAAAAAGAAGGATCTTATACAATTCGTAGGAGTAACATAGGTTAAAATAAAGGTTTAAGGAGGTTATAACTTATATTAGAATATGGGAGATGTTTGTCCCTGAAGGGGATGATAAATATAGACAAAAAAAAGAGAGGTGGTGACTGCCTTCAAGATTATTAAGGGAATGTATAAGAAGGAAATTGTTGGTCAGATAATTGTGTATTTACTTGTGTGTGTTTTGATAGCCAGGAGAGCTAAAATGAAGCAAAATTTCAGAGGATTTTGGAGTTTAAAAGTTTTAAAAGGCTCCTTCCCCTTTCACAGAAGCCACTGCTGCAGCTGTGTCACAGGTGCTGTGCTAGGGCTTGGGGAAGGGAAAGTGCTACTGAAAGACCCCGAATTTATAGAAATAAAATATAAGCTTAAACAGGGAGGGCACCCCACTAGAGAACTTGGGAAGTGAACAAAGAACCCCATCCCAGGAACCGGCCATACCACAGAATGGAATGTATGGTTTAGCAACCTTAATTGCAGAAGGGCTGTAAATCCACAAAAGGCCAATTGTGGGCTGCAGATCATCTGTGAAAAACTGACCAGGGCGTCAAAGATGGGCAAACAAGACTAGTGGGAAACAAGGAGATAACACTGTTTACTTAGGGAGAGATAATTAACTCGTGCCAAGATTTGAGGAATTTACAACATGAAGGTCAGGAAGACATCTACTTCCCCGGGACAGGAGTCACGTACCCCCCTTCCCCCGTCACGAGATAGGGACCCCTCCCAAAAGCTTGTGGTTTTTATCTTTAAAAGCTGATTGTAACTGAACCTTGGGGCCAATCGGTCTAAAAGCTGACCGAGAGGCCCATCTGCAGATGCCTAATTAAAGCCTCTTGCGTGTTGCATCAATTGGTACGTGGACTCTTGATTCTTGGGGTGACAAATCCAGCTTTGGGACCCCTCCTCAATTCGGGGTACCCCAACACTACCTGCAGGAAATATCTGCTCCTGAACCAGTTAGCAGTATGATAAGAGACCTCGGTGCCTACTGAGGAGCAGCTAGATCAGAAAACAAACAAAAAAAAACCATACAGGACAGAGAGATTAGGAACTAGAAATACAGAGAGGCAGAAACCTAGTGGTAAAATTCAGCAAAAACTAAGAGGCTTGAAAGATTTAGCAAAATCACTCTCACAGGAGATAAGAACTTTTTAAGTTTCCTCAGATCAGAGAAGTGTTCCTTTGTCTAAGGCAGCCTAGGGGCAAGCAGCCCTCAAGTCATGGCAGCCACAACAGGTCAGATGCCTCCAGTTCAGGTTAGTGTTAGAGAAGAGACAAACAATACAAATAAACAAAAAGAGCCCAAAACCTTCTTGCTTGTTATAAGGAGCTCCATGAGGAAGGACAAATACAAAGACATAGATCAGCAGTTAACTCTTGAGATAGCAGTGTATAAACAGATTGGCCCAGCAGCAGAGAGAACTTGGAACAAGCTTCCAGCCGCCAGGACACAGGCTAAGTCAAGGCTTCAGAAAAGAAAGAGCAGG